CCGCCGAGAAACGGTGCTCTGGCCTCCTTTGGCAGCCGGCGGGAGGGACGCGGTGGCTTCCCGGAGGTCGCGCTGCCCGGCTTGAGCAGGGACCAGCAAAGGTCCCTAAAACCCCTGCGCAGCGTATTGCATTTGCTGAAAAGCTCGTCTTCCGCTGGGAAGAAACAACGCGCTCTGTTCTCTCGCGTGTGCGGCGGCCTTTGGGGTCTGAGCAGCCGTACGCAGCGCCGCTTGGCTTCGTGCGGTTTTACGCGGTCTGCGTGCGAGCAGAAAATCAGCCTCGCCGGCAACGTTTCCAGTCGTCGCTGCCTCTCCGCTTCAGCCCTGGGTAGCGGATCAGGCAGAGACATGAATTAAAGTGCAAAACTTCTGCCTAATGGGGAAGAAGTTTGCAATTCGCTCCTTTTTTGCTGACAAACTCTGTATTTCTGATGCTTTTTCTTTTAAAGGGAACCACCTTCAGCTGCTGGGTTCCCTCGGCAGGGCCGCCGGCCGGGCCACCAACAGCTGCTCGCCCTGAAAGCCAAAGGTACGCTTCAAAAAAATCATCTTCTTTTGTTTTCCTCCATTTTACTTTTTTATTTTATAAAGAGGGAGCCTAGGGAACCCGCGGCCGCTTTTCCCTCTCGACTGCCCCGGGTTTGCCGCTAATGCCAATCACGACTTGCCCATCGGCACCTGGAAAGCGGCAGAGGCCGCCGGCTCTGTCGCCCACTCAACAGAGGGGAAGGCGGACCCAAAAAGACAACTGCAATTTTTAGACCCGGTTTCCCCCAAATAAGGGCAGAACACAGGCTCTGATTTCGAGAAAGGCCCAAGCGGCACCTCGGCTGGAAAGCGGGAGGTGTCGATGCTTCGCGTACGCCGGGGAGCGGAGTTGGAGAAGCCGGCATCGATCGCGATACAATTTTTAAAATTGAAAAAAAAAAAAACCCCAAAAAGCAAGGAAATTCCTTAACAAAAACGTCAATTTTAAATGAACGCAGCCGCTCGTTGTTTCCGACTTTGCCCCGACTTGATTTTGGTTGCCGAAAGAAGATTAGAAACGCTGCCACCTCGAAGCCTCCTCGTTGACACAGAGCTCGTTTATACAAGGACCGACACGTCGTTAGCCGTTCAGGAAAGCTGAAGCGCTCGTGCGCGGGCCGCGCTTCGTACTCGCGGGGGCGACCAACGGCTTAGCTTGCCTTGAGCTGTTGATGGCAAAAGCCAGTCGTTTCTAAAGGCCGTCCACGTCTTGCTGTCTGCCTGAGCTTTAAATAGCCCAGAACTGAGCCCGTCCCCTCGAGGGATTTGTTTCCCAACTGCGCCAGGTTTTCTGAATTTCAGATCTCAAGAGCGTTCAGAGCGGCGTCCCCACCCACGGCCACAGCCTGCTTGGGAAAAAAAATCTTTTTCTTCAGAAAACAGCTCTGCCTCGCTTAGGAATATACGCAGACGGAGCATTAGCAATATACAGAAACCTAAGAAAACCCTGATGGTTCTTTTAACCGCAGCCAGAAAAAATATTGGCCTATTTACGCAGCAAGTCTAATAGCTTCAGGAGGACGAATCCCATCGGGCGCCCAACGTGCAGCTGCCCTCCCAGCGGCCGCGGACGCCGCGCCGTTGCGCAGGCACGGCCGTTGCTGCTTCGTGCCTCACCCTAAAAATTGTTCGGTCGCTTTCTAAGCCCCGTGTTGCTCTTTAGAGAAACCGATAAAAATCAGGCTGCTCTCAAAGCCGAGCTGTTCAAGCCAGGAGCTGTTCTCCCAAGAGCTTACGGGCTACCTCCGACATGCCAAACGGAGAACATGAATATACATGGGAAAAATATATATTTATTGGCTAGTAAGCCTAGGCAGGATTCCCCACCATCGCCTCCGCCAGACCTTCAAAGCAACCTCGTTCCAGCCGGGGCGCGCGCGGCGACCTGCCCAACGCGGCAAGTCGCGGTCCCAGCCTGGGGCATCCGGATGCGTCTGCTCTCTAGTACTGTATTTAAGGCTTCCTTTTTTTCCAGACTGAGTTTGCCCAGGCTGAGCTGCTCCTCGATGTATAAACTAACAAGGCTAT